CAGACACCCATTCTCCAACCACATACACACATACACACATACACACCCACCTCTTACCATGCAGACTGCAGATTTATTTGGAGGGGACCTTCGAACTTCCTAAGGAATCTGTTCTCCCTGTGCCTTTAACTTTCTATTTTTCATTGTTCTCTTTTCTGTTTTAAATATGGTTAAGATTCATGTGATATCAAAGAATGTTAAATTCAAAAGATATACAGAAACATTTAATGTGATCTTTGCAATAATGCTCCAATAGGGGAAGAGGTATCTTTATTTTAGAGATGAATATATTTTAAACTTGAAGCCGAGCCACTTTCCCCCAAAAGTTAACAGCTGGCACTAAGTAACAAAGGGACTGACTAAACCTAGGTTTTTAAACGTCTAGTCCAGGGCTTATTTTGAGTATTCAACACACCTAAAAGTCAAGACGTCTTACTACTGAGTCCTCTTGGCTTAACCTTTCATCTTCATTACTCGACCTCTAGTTGGGTAAGTACAGAATTCCAAGGATCTCTCAGCCAAGTCCAAAAGCCACTTTTCAGCGGTATTCAGAACTCTGCTACATTTGGCTCTAATCCTATTTTTAGATTATTCTCTTCCGCCCTGATTTTTACAGTAACTTCCTTCTTTACTCATTCATTCTTGTTCTCCTTTCCTTGCCATAGATTATCTTAAACATCCTGTTACATTTCTGTCTAAATAAACCCATTCCACTTTGCAGTTCATCATGGAAATGTTTGTCTCAATTATATAGTTAAAGCTCTAATTTATACCTCTATTGCTGTAATGCTGCCATTTCCTGTTTGATGAATCTATTCCATTCTAGGCTTTCATCACTTCTGGCCTTCATTAATTCCAACTGTTGCTTGATCCTATCCAGCATTCATTTCCTAGCAATTATGTCCCAAAGAGTAGAATACAAACACTACTGATGGTATGTTAGATGATTTTAAGTGGCCCATAAAGGAATAGTTAAAATTATGTTTATTTTAAAAGATGTTGAAAAACTGTAAAGCCAAAAATTGTGCACACTTTTCCTTTAATTTCACTTACTTAAAATACAGTTAAAAAATATTAATAGACAGATGGTTTGAAGATAAAGCAAAAATCATGAATGACTTGTCTGGGAAATACTGGCCCTGGGATATCCATATAGTACAGAAGTTAAGCACACAAGCTCTCGGTCAATGACTCGACTCCCATTTACCAGCTAAGTAATTTTGAACAAATCACTCAAACCTCTTTAAATCCCAGTTTTCTACTTGTTTAGTAGTGATAAAATTAATATCCTCTAGTTGTTTAGAAGGGATAATCACAATAACTTGATCTCTCCTGACCACCAAGCCTTTACCCTGTAATCGACTGGGCACTCAATCTGTACTATAGGCAATTTTCTATATATGGATTTTCTGCACCAAATTCCCTTATCTGTTTGTATATCTTTATTTTTATATTCTGGTATGAACTCCCGGCCAAAAAAAACCAAAACAAAAAAACCCCACACATGATAACTTTTATTATTAATCCTTAAGACTGTGAACACTGGGAACCAAAAGCCATAATCCTCTGATTCACCTGGTGTTACAAATTTAAAAGACTCTTTAATGTTTGTTGAAGAAATTTAAAAATTACAAAAATCTTATGCAAATAAAGCTCACAATATATAGTACATAAGCCCAAGCTATTTGAAAGCTTTGACACTACTCAAACAGGTAAATAAAGAGAAAAATGACAGAGGATGACAGAGTATTCTTTTGCTCCACTAACATATTCATCAGTTGAACCTTAGTGGTGAGTCTATTCTTCGTGGCTCCTAAACTCATTCATTTAATAATCTCTAATCAACTCTAGGTATATGTATGCCAACCACCACACGAGGTGATGGAGACACAGAAACAGTCTAGCAAAAAAAAGATTAGTATCGAAATACAAACAAGTAAATAGAAAACGAGTAGATAATATGCTAAGTAAATGATATCCAACAGTGTTTTAATACTAGATATGCGCCAGGATTACAGCCCGCCCTCCTGTGATGTAGAGACCAGCAGCACCACATAGGGGTGAGGACATGACATTACACCGACAGTAAGTTTTCTGCTACCTTCCGTTCAGACTCTAGGTATATGCTAACCATATTAAAGTTTTTGTCTGCCAACTAGACAAGTGTTGAAACTCAGTAACAGCCCTTGCTTGATCTGATTTGCCAGCAAACACATGCACACGCAAGGCCCCAAAACACGACTGGCATTCTCTTAACCTAGAGCAAAATAAACGACTAGAACTACAATTAGCAAGAAGGTAGGTATATATTTAGCCTTTCTGGAGGTTGGTAAAGAACAAATAATAGAAAATTTACCAAAGTTACCCTCTCTAGAGAATATTTTTACCCACAAAGATATCCTGTCCTGACTGGCATCAATGGCATTTTTGAGAAATTTAAAATGTTATGACTCAGAAAACTAATTAATTCTCAAAACTTTTAAGCAACAGTTAACATAGATTGAGATAAGCTTTCATTGTGTTACCCTATTTATAAGGTGACAAGTCTTGATTTACTGAAAGTGCATTAGTCATAACTCAGTCAGACACAACTTCTGGATCTCATTCACTGGAGAATAGGGTTCTGTACCAATCTGTGTAACATTTTATCAATCCTTGTCTTACAGAAATACGGTATAAATAGCATCTGGAACGCAAGTTACTCAACTGACTTATAAACTGAAGAAGTGGTTGGGAGATAGGAGGAAACCTCTGAGAGGGAGAGGGAGACAGAATAATCTTCAAAGATATTTTACCAATAAGGATGGTGGGATGGAGTAGGGGTAGGGAGCAGATGAGCTAGAATGAGCTAGAACTTCTGTACTGACCCTAGGGTTACTAACTGTACAGTATGAAGAAGAAATCTTTAAGAGACAACATCTAGTGTGGAGGTGTGAAAAAAAAGTCTAAAAAGTATTTTTAAAAATGAAGATATAAAAACTATCTTAAATTTCCGAAGAATATGTACTCCATTCTGAGAATACAGAGACTACTTACTGCTTGGAAGAGAGTATCTTCTTCTACCAATATTCTGCCATCCTCCCTCCACCAGCTGACCTTTCACTAATGTACTGAGCACAGTAACAAACCTTCCACATGCATTATCTTTGTTACTCCTACTGCCACCCTTCCAAGCAATCCCTAGATACTATTATCATTATCATCATCTCCACTTTACAGGTGAGGAAACACTGTATCAATGGTATAGATCAGACGGCCACATTTTAAAATTGTATCTTGTTATACTAGTTAGTTTTACTCCATTGGCCTTAAACAGAAAAGGATACAAAAATTAGCTTCCACCCTATCCCCAAAGTAACTATAATCCATTTTCACACTTTGCAACACTTTCCCATGCCAACAATGTTTCTATACTGGAGTCAAACAGAAGAAACTCGGTTAATAACAATGTATCTTATTTAATTTCCACAGTTCATAAAATTACAAGGAACAGGGAGGCAGTTTTATGGTTTAGAGTATCCCTTTTCAATTCCAATCCATTCAGCACCAATAACTGCTATGTGACCTTGGTCAAACTGCTTTAATCTCTCTCAGATTTCATTTCCTCATCTGTAAAATGGGGGTGATAACAGCAGCACCTCCTTCAAAGGCTTGCTGTCAGATTAAAAAGGTAATGTGCATAAAAAGGCTTATACTGGGCTCCGAACACACAAAAAGGTCAACTAATGGTGGAGGGAGAACAGCCATATACATAAACTCCCCAGAATAAAATATAAATACAAAAGTCAAGAGGCCTATGTTCTGAAAAATCCCATTACAGAAAGGGAGAAAATTACTATTTGAGTACACGCTAAAGAGAAAACTCAAATTCAATCTATTCCTAATTTTGGGGGGGATCAACGCATTTGAGGTGGGCCAGAAAAGATGCTGCAGTGCATCTATGACACACACCTAAAAATGGCTCCAGTCAAAGCAGCATCTTAATTACTCAGAGAAGAGGTTAAATCCACTTTTAACAAATGCCAGAGGTAGGCTTGGTGGGCGCTTAAGCATCATCCTATCGTTTTTATCTGCAAGAGTAAGCTATCAGGCACTTAAGAATCCTGCTTCTTCTAGTGCCTTCTGAATGGAACCTTACAGCACAGCCGCCTACTGTGCAATTCTGAGTACCCTAGCGAGGTATGAATCTATGAACCTAGGCTGAAGAGCGGCCAACGCGGAAATCCGGGTAGCTTTAGAAGCCAGCATGTCGGAAACGTCAAAGAAAAAAAAAAAAATCTCAAATCAAGTCAAAACAAATGCACATCCCTTTAAAAGAATTAGACGCATTTCTCTCGGGCGAAGGGAGAATTCATCCGTGTTCCCACTGGTCCCCACGCCCTTCTCTTCAAGTCCTAACGTGGGGCCTCGACCCTAGCACCGGTGAGACCACTGCCCTCTCAGAGCGGGGGGGAGCCGCAGGGTGGGACCGAGCACGCAGGTGAGGGGATGGAGAGGCCTAGGGCGCGGACGCCACCCGAACCCTCCGCTGGAGTCGGGGCAGCCCGTCCCAGCGGAAGTGCGGCCGGCCCCGCTTGCCGAGTCGGGTCCTTGCGCGGGTCTCCCGCACGCCGCTCGCTGCCCGCGGGGAGGGCCGCAGAGGAGCCCTGGCGCCGTCCGGGGGACACATCCCCGCTCCAGGGAAGGACACCGCGCGCCGCGCCGCTGGGGACCCCCTCGGCTTCCCCGGCAACGCGCCGGGCCGGGTCGGGGCCGGGGGCGGCGGCCCCAGGG